TTCAGTGGACTTCTGAAAGAAACAGTTAAAAATACAATTTAAAGTAAACCTAATTAGATATAATTGAATGTATGCAAGAATATAAATATTCTATGTTAAAGAATATCTAAATCCAAAATAGGCTTATTAGTCCTTAGTCCTTGGTTGCATAAGTTTTCTTTTTTCAGGCCTTTATTTTCACCTGGTGATCCTGCCAGTAACACACTTCTTGTGCTGGGGTGACAATACTCACTCAGCAAACTCATTTTTACTTTTCTTCATGAAACAGAGCAGAGGGTTTATGTAGTCCTCAGAGATAGTGGAGAACAATGTAACTGATAGTAGTTGGCAGAGAGCACGGGAATTATTAGCTCACAAGCTTTCTGGCAGGATCAACTGGTATTTTTTGCACTTATTGAACAGATACAACAAAACGCTTTCAATGCTATTGAACAGACCCAAAAGGGAGCGAATGGGAGAAGCTCATTGTTAAGGTTTACTTATATTTTAAGCATAACTGTATTTTCAGAACAGATATTCTAGCTTTTACTGTCCATCCAGTTTTAGCAAATTATTACACCACGCTCTGTTCTTTACTTAAAAGAGAACTATGGGGTAACCTTTTTTTCCCCATAGTTCTCAATAGGGTTACAGGAGGACATATACTAACATTCTACCGTGAGCCAAAACTCAGTATATAGCGGGCTGTCGAGATCCACTCACTGGCTGATTGGCAGCGGGCTCTGTCTCTCTAGAGCCAGAACCAGCTGTGCCCACGTTCTCCCCTGTCTGTTCACCCAGCGAGCAGCGTTTTTTGATCACTCCGAGCTATAGAGCCGGTGCATAACAGCTGCAGTGTCCAATGACGGATCAAACTTTTGGGAAGATTACATTTTACTCTCCCAATAGTTCTCCTTTAAATTAGGAGTGCGGAAATTAACGATTAATCCGTTGATGAATCGTTAATTTTTTTGATCGATCAAAATTATTTTGATCGATCAAAGTTCTTTTGATCCGTACTCACCTCTACGCCGGCTTCCGGGTCTTCCGTCGGAGATCCGGTGACGTCACCGGACTCCTCCCCCCTCCCCGAGTGGCTCTGTCGGCTAACGAAGGGAAGAGGGGAGGAGTCGGGTGATGTAGTTGTCCGTGATGGGTAACGAAGGGAAGGAGGGAGGAGTCCGTTGACGTCGATGTCCGTGACGTCACCGGACTCCTCCCCCTTCCCTTCGTTACCTGACAGGATCACTTGGGCCGGTGAGTCTCCTGCTTCATTAGTGCATACTCATAAGACAAAAACACAAGGCAGGTTTGAAAAACATGTCTGATTGCTATCGTTTTGCCTGAGATAAGCCTTCACCAGTCGTGCCTGCATGTGCCTTTCCAGCTACTATTGTCCTTCACCATAGGCCTGAACTGAGCATTCTTGTTTATGAAGTCCAGAGGCTGACCACTATGCCTGAGGTTGGTTGCATCATACCCAAATGTCCAACCACCATCTGAAGTTTATATGCAGCTCTATGAAATGGTAATTGACCACAGTAATTTGTAAGCTGATTACTTGGAATACCAGACTGAGCAGAAATGTTTATTTATTCATAGATTGTATTCCAATATCCAGTATCCCAGTATATACATATTTAAAAAAAATTTGATTCATCGAACAGGAACATTTTAATCATTACCAGCCCTACTTTAAATGGTTAATTAGCAGGTCTACATCAACACAGACCCAGAGGGAAGAGTTAAAATATTTAATTCTAACCTGCTTCCCCATTCGGCCTGACTGACTGAGGGCTCACCGGCCCACGCTCGGATTTAGCAAAAGGGCTAGTGAGTTTGACATCTCCGGTGGGTGGACTGTGTGATGCTCTTTATCAGCACATCACGCTGTGTATTTTTTTTTTTTGCATACTCCATTCAGGTCCCCATAGAGCAGCATGGTGCACTGTACTACAAGAAAATGGAGCCTATCTCTCCTGTAAGGTATTAGTGGTCTATTATGTAACATTATATCAGTGCCTCATAGTCTCTTATACCATTGTAGCATTCTCTCAATCTCCTGTAAAATGGTGGTGGTCTCTCACAGGATATCTCTCACACAGAAAATCATTATTGAAAACTATGAAAAAAAAAGAATTATCCTCAAATACAACTGGTCAGAAACCACATGAGCACTTCATAGGCCAACAGAGAGGATCTGAACATTTCTAAAAAAAAAAAAAAAACTACAGGCAGCCTGTAACCAGGTATATAAAAAGTATAGACAGACCTTTGAATGTCTGTGGACATAACACAAGAGTTGCAGTGGCTAGCAGGGTGGAGCTGCTGTCCGAGTAACGAGCTGTCAAACCTATCCAAATCACTGTTACCCTATCCCACCTCCACATCTTATAAGCCACCACTTATAGTATGCTTTCTTCTCCAAAATGAGCTTGCATGTTTATTTAACACATTGTAGCTCATGGATACTTTGTCTAGTTGGATCCTGTCCCAGGCCTGTACATCTGACCACCCTCTAAGGTCTATAGGTACCCTTACATTAGGGCAATTGACTGGGATTAGGGATAAAATTGAATGAACCCCTTTGTTTTTTGGAAGCACTGTACAGTCGGTGTGATGACTTGAATCTTCCTTCTGTTTTGTACTTTCTGTACTTTATTGCCAAGCCCTGCTTACTTGGTTGTACGTGTGCAGTGGAGAGCATGAGTGTAGATAAACTCTTTTGTCGTCTTTTGTTTATATCTAGTACTTCCATCATAGATCTGCTTAATGGTGAATTACAGAGCAGGAGATCACAGAAGGTGACAACATTAAACACACGCTTTGCAAAGCATAATATAACTAATCTCACTGAAGGGCAAATAATTCAACAGAATCTCTTCTCGGCAGAGGGCGAGTGACTACTGTACACCCGCAGTGCGTAACTCATGGTAAAGACCTGGCCATCGGGTATTAACACTTAATTAAATCTATATGCATCAGTGGGCGAAGTTCCAGTGTTTCAAGCAAAGGTTAATTAGACTAGCTGTTTCTGAGGAACAAATCTGAGGGATGTTAATTGACCCAAGCTCATCCGCACATTCTGCCCTATAGCAAGTTTTGTGTTCACTGTGAATGCTCATTGGCTGTCTTCTGGTTCTAGAATGCAAGCAGCTTCTAGATACCACTTTTTATTAGCACTGCCATTGTTACTTTTTACTACACTGAATAAAATGCTATTGTTTTACTAGACAGCTCCTAGAGCTTGTCAACAAGAGGAATGGCAAATGTCTATGTTACCGAGAGCAGCCAGGGACACGCCAGATGATGGACTAGCCTGCTAGGGCTGTCATGGTACAGACAAAAGTCATGAAGGCTCATAACATTAGAGTTGGACCTTAAAGGAACTTGTCAGGATAGAAATATGGGAGGTGCCCGTGATCAGTGACCTTCCTTTCCTGCTTGGTGCCTTACTGACCCCAGGAATATCAGGTGAATGGCCACCTAATATACACAATTTAGTTTTTTGTTAGTGATTCACCTAGTTGTGATGGAAGGACAAGAACAACAAGCACAGGGCTTGTTGTTTTTGGAGGCATGAGCTAGGCAAGTTAGGGGCCCTACTTTGCTAGGTTGCCTTGGCAGGGAAGTGTGGCTCAACATATACAGTATGTGCACATGTATGAATTGACATTCACCTTGTTTTTGGTCAGGCTGGCTGGTAGGTGTGCTGGGGAACTTTTTGCATTGTACATTGTGTAAACTTCTATGCCCACTTATGTCAGGTATAAATATTTCAGTCAAAGGGAAACTCAATCAGCATCTGCTGTGCCATCTCTATAGTTCTCATTAAATCCCTTCCTATGTAGTAAATGTTTCTTTATAAAACAATTAATGAATAGACAGTAAAAACAGAAGGAAGACACTGGAGTTCAGCTTTAAAACATTTAGCCTTCAAAACAATTAACAAAAACCCTAATAGTTGCCTTGTCAACAGAATCTGTCACTTTGGATATCAAAAGTAAAAAGATTTGCAAAGTTGCTACATGTACTGTACCTTTAATGACCCCAGTGTCTTCTTCTGTTACCCCTTTTCTAGACTGTCCTCGCAATATCCAAAGCCTCGTTATCAGCAGTGCCACCTTGTTAGCAGCATCATCAGTCCAAGGCAGGCTCAAGGTGCGAGTCACTGCAACAGGCTCTGTAAGTCCTCTTCATATGGAGCGATCTGGGATTTCTGTTGCAGGAACCTACATATTTTTGCATCAAGCATCCCAGGTGCCCTGTTCAGATGCCACCACTGTGCTCATTCAAGTAAATGAAAGGTGACAGCAGCCGCATCTGTAAGCAGCAATCCACATGTATTCGTATATATGATACAATTACTTGCGGTTTTGATTAGATGAATCATATATTCCAGACCATATGTACTCGTACCATGTACAATTCCAGTGGGTACAGTGGCTGCATGTGAACGGGGACACCTGGCATTCCTGACGCAGGGGTCTGTAGATTCTTGCGACAGGAATGCCAGATTACCCTGTGTGAAAGAGGCCTAAGATTCCATGACCGCACTCTATCGCTGACTTGTAGTGACAGAAAGGTGGTTAAAAATATAAATAAAGGCTTGTGAAATAATAATAAAAAAAAGAATACATTTTCTGAATACAGTTATTACAGGTATTATTTCAATACCAGTTACCAAAATGTAATCTTTTTTTTGCAAAAATCCCCTTTTATCAGGGCTTTAGCAATGCGGTAAGAGTCTCTAAAGAGTGTCTATTTCAAATCAAAACTCTATACCAGGAGCTTAGATAGAGGGTAATTGTGTCAGCGGAAGGTATTTGGGTGAACCCCTTTCTTTTGGGGGTGCCCTGCTCTGTAGAAAGCTGCCAAATCTAAACCATTAGACTTATATGAAGACTTGTCTCTACTGGATAGGAATCTGGGTCCAGTGCCTTGCTTCCATCTTCTCTTAATAATGGTGTATCATGACATTGTTCCATATGCTGATCAGTAACTATTTTGCCTTACTGCAGGAAGGAACTGGAGGAATACGCCACCATGAAAGAGAAGGAAAAACTGAGGAGATATTTGGAAAAGGAAGAACACAGGAAGAACCATGAAGCCAGGAAGATGCATTACCTCCTCAGTACAGAGCAGGTTAGTATACAGTACAAATCCTTGACAGCTCAGGGAAGCCTCAGGGAGCCACACACTGACAGAGACAAAAGAGCCAGCTGAATAGGACATGACGACTTGAAAAGATATCACAAAAACACAACTTCCACTTCAATTAGGTAGTTTTCTATGTGTGAGGGCAGATATCATGACTGCTCAGTAACAGCCCTGAAACACAAGCGTCCGTGTCAGCACTTTCATCTGAAAGCGAAAAGGAAAACAGAATTGCTAGACTGCCGTGACTAATTTCCATCGGCTTGTTGTCGTGTCATGTCTTTACTGGTATTTTATTATTAAGGGGGATTCTGCTAAGCATTATTTACATCGAATCTTTGGAGAGCGGAGGCTACATTCAACACTTGCTCCACTCATTATTTCCTTGTTAAGGTGTGATATTTCAATCATATTCAATCACCTATTATTGAATACATATTTCAATCACCAGAACTGGGTAGGCAAAGTGCTTAGGCAGGCAAAAAATGTAGGACCATATTTATTGAGGGTGCTGGGCACACTTATTTGGTATAAAGACCAATAATAATGTGCAAAATTCAACCAATCAGAAGTCATCTTTTAACTGATATCAACACAGTAAATTAAAATTTTAATTTGTACTTACCGCCTTCTTGTATAATCCCAGAGGAGGAATAATCTTAGGCAAAATGTAGTTCACTCTTTAGCTAAATTAGTCATGGACACTTAAAGTTATAATCATTTAAAAAAAGATATTATTTTTTATTTATTGCTGTATTTTATTACTAAAGCCATAAAAAACTGAAGCTATATAATGAGGCAGAATAGGGTACCTCTATCTAGAACAGCCTTTTGTAATTACTGTTATTTTGTTTTTGGGAGTTTTTCGTCCCCACTGCATCCCACAAAACAATACAATGCAAGGTCACTGATTATCTATTGAAAGCATTACTTTCACAATGAAGGAGTATTTCTGTGAGATACCTAGGGGCTTATAACTGAGCAGATATCTTCTCTCTGTTATATTTCACAGGGCTCTGCACACAGCGAACCGTATTTTACAGCCCATTCATAAAATGCTGGCTGTGATAAAGAACCTGTGGTAGTTCACTGATTTCTCCCAACAGAGAGAGCTCCTTGATTGGTGAGGGGCTGGTCATGTGACTCTGCACTTCTCCTGGATTTTATATTTATTTTATTCCCCCTCCTATTTATGTTTATTGTGCTTTGTAAGCTTCAGGGCTCCATACTGATTCTTGTTAAATGAATCCCTTAATCCTATGCTCTCCTAACCCTATCCCTTAAACCACCAATTAGAGCCCTTTTTCCAGTCATGTTGGGTTTAGTCTGATGATGTCACAGCCTCTTTACTCTCTTCTTCCACTGGTGGTGGGTGGATCCTAAATACTGCAGAAAGCCATGCAACGTAATGACTTGGCAACCGCCTCTGCAGCATTTCTCCTGTGAGTCCACGGCTGGGGGCGGAGCCTTGAATCCCTTGGCTCACAAGAGGAGTTTCTTTTTCTTTCCTGCTTCATCCAAAAACAGTTTGGCTGGACATTAAAACACTTGACCCCGACCCATAACATTAACCCCCTAGCCTAAGCCGCCTATTAACCTACTCTCTACTTGTACCTTAACCCTTAACTGCATGTGCTCACCTTGTCTGGTGCCATAAGCTAACAATCTGGCACTAAAATGTACTGGCACCGACAAAATGAATGTTTAGACATTTTGGTGCCTCCTGTTAGCGAATGTTAGTTTGTGATGGATTTTGACATGACGGGTATACTTTAAGGACAATTATTTATTTTGCTTTTGTACATCTTTTAGTGTCATCAGTATTGCTTGTTTAGCAGCATATGTTTGGTGAAGGTTTGCACATAATTAATTATGCTAATGTGCCGCTGTCAATATGTACTTCATGGGAATGATATACCTGACACTCTATTCCCATTTTATACATCCCATGGTGATTCAGTACTGTACAAATTAACAACTTCCATTGTTTGGGTAAATGAAGACAGCCTGCGGGCCAGATGCCATCCCCCTTCACTTTACTTCAGGTCTGAGAATTAAAAGAGAACCCCAGTCAAAAGACAGAATTCAGACATAAACTTCCAAAGTGTTATGATTTACAACAAATCCTGGAGCCTTCACCAGAAAATAAAGCCTGTCTCGGAAAATGTCCTTCTCAGTTGAGTCCTTGTAAATGGGTACGGTACAGTAGGAGGAGAGAGCAGTGCAACAAAACAGAGATCACAGAATCCAGCTCAGTTCTGGACACTGCTCACAGCAAGTCTGGTCATTCCCATGGTGGGTTTAATGTTCACAGCATTTGCCCTATGTGTATCAGTTTACAAGAATCCAAAATCTATACTGACCACTATGTAGGTAGCTGCAGGGTTTCATGGTCCACACTGGTTTGGTGGAGACACTTCTATTTAGGAACTATAGAACAGCTTATTAATATACTTCATACACACTTCTAGTTCAGTCCCTTGAGCACGATGGGAAATAGTTCTCTATCCCTAAGGGTTGGTTTCCTAACTCGAATCCTATACCACTTCTAGCCAAGTCAGCAGGGATGGTGCATTTTGTGAACCACCACAAGGCCCTTTGGAATTTAGCGGCTCATTTACATTAGGTATTGGTTAAGCTAGTTCTGGGACCCCCTCTCATTGTCACATAACCCTGGCACTGCTAAGTGAAGCAGGTGAGAAGTGGGAGGCATTCTTAACTGCTTAGCTTGCAAGGACTCACATACTTAACCTGCTTGGCTTGCAAGGTCTCATCCAACCTCAGAATATCCATTGTCCTTCGCTTCCCTTATCTGTCAACTGGGGTGTAACACTCTGCATGTATAATAACAAATGATAAATATTTCCCTATTTGCGTGCTGCAAAGAGGACCCAAAGAGGCAGGGTGAGACTGTTAACCTTTGTCACACAATGAATTTAAAGTTGGAGACTCAAGCTGGCCATACATGGGTCAAATGTTGGCAGATTCCTGTGAATTCGCTTTTATTTGAGCCATAGTTGGTCCTGCTGACACCACCCGGCTTGAGTCGAATTATAATGAGTGTTGCCAGATCCACTTTTAGCTTTGGTAATCCAGTTTATAAAACATGCAATTCTGTGTTTGGATGGTTGCAGAGTAGAAAAAGAAGAAACCCTAAAAACATATAAGCCGCCGTTATATAATGCTGACCACCCCACATTGCCTTTTTTATCCAGTCAAGTACTCTGGTGGATCTGTTTTTTTTTTTTTTACAATCATCCATGTGTCCTGCATTTTTTTCAATTCAATATACAGATTCAAAATGAAGAAATTATTTGGTCAGTGCATTGAAAATATTTCTGGGTCGACCTCTCTCTTCTTTGTAGGAGGATAGTAGGAAAGTTGGAGAACTTAGCCCATTCAGGGCAAAAGTGGCATTGTCTGTGAACAGCTCCACCCACCACCCCCTTCCTGGTCCAATGATAGTTACCTGTCCAGTGATCTCCCACAACTCTTCCCTATGTTGCAGCTGAAGCAAAATACTCGCTGCTTCCAGGTTTGGAGGAGCATGTAAGCTCTTCCCATGAGGAAGTGCTCAGGCCTGGTGGCCAATCACACGGCAGGGGAAGTGATATCACCACTCCCTCTAGACCCCTGCTCACACTCTGGTCCATCTGGGTATTTTGATGGCAGCTGTGATGAAGAAAGAAGGGGCAGGGGAACACTTGAGGAGTATAAAGTTATCTTGGGGTGGAATTTACACATACACTGTCACTTTGCTCTGAACAGGCAAGGTGACAGTGTCTAGGGAGCAAGAAGGATTCTTTTTCTGGATCACCTGTGGGTTCAGAGTTCTATGTATGCAAGTTTTAATTTATTTATTCTTCAATTTTTCTATAGATTGAGCTTGAAGGACTTGTGTCTTATCTCAACCTTTTTTTAAATTAAGCATAGCAAGTTACAAATCTGGTGCAATATTTTATCTGCAAACAAAAAAAAATTTTAAGTTACAAATATTTAAGGACTTTCCCACACAAAGCAAATTCACATTATGGAAATGCTGGATGAAATAGCATCACTTTTTTAACTCATGCTGCTATTGCTGAATATTCTGCTGTAACTTTGTTGCTTTTTTTTCTAAATGCATAGCAGAAACATGCCCGTATGCTGAGAGGTTTATATCTAAATGTTGGAGGTAGTTATTAAAACTCTTGGCACAAAGAATTCATACAGAAAATACACTACTTCACTACATGCTGCTTTTTAACCAAGCTAAAACATTTTTTTTGATCTGTACATAATGTTGTCTGCTCCACCTACTGGCCCATACCGCACATAAGATATTTGCTACGTGTGGTGAAATCATTGTACACTGCATGTAAAAAAAAATGTGAATGTTTATATTTTCAGAGATCGGCTTAAGGTGGGATTTCTTCATCAGCAGAATTAAACAAGTGCATAACGGATGTATAATTAAAAATTACACCTGCATAATCTATGCTACATTCATTAGGTTCATAATTAGATAGGTTAATATCTACCCAGAGTTAATTTTGTACATAAATCTGTATACTTTCTACTCGCCTGATAACTACTTACATCTCATGTCTTTTCTTTCAGTCTCTTTACTTAATCTATGATTGCCATGTGGTCCCCGTTGATTACCCTTCCAGCTGTAGGTACAAAGATGTAGTTTTGAAGGCTATCCAAGGGGACCATATAGTCTCGTATCTCTTAGTACGTTCCTGTCTCGCCAGGGTTAGTTCCTCCATTAGGCGTAAATATTCCACTTTATGTATCCACTCTCTAATTGGCGGAGTAGTTGGAGTTTTCCAATATTTAGGAATAAGGAACTTTGCAGCGTTCAATAGATGTGGTGTCAGGGATTTCCTGTACCTTGATGGGTTTAGGTCCGTCATATGCAGTAAACAGGTCCATGGACCATGGTCTATTGGGCCTGGTTGTCCAGTTATAAATGATATAAGGAATTTAACTTGAGCCCAGAAAGG